AAACACCTTTTGTATAACCAAATACTGTAATTTAGTTGTTCCTAGTCAACTTCATAAGTAGAAGATCAAAAAATTAGTTGTTATAAAGTTACAAAAAGGTCAAATGGGCACATTGTAGCTGTTGCAGTATATTGAGAGGTACTATTAGTAGTAGTAGTAGTTTGCTTTTTCTTGACAAATTAGGGTATGAAACTAGTCCCTCTACTAATTAGGCTACTAAGTGTCATACTAATTCGTTAGTGGTCAAATGGGCTGTTGCAGTATATTGAGGGGCATTATTATTATTATTAGTGTTTTTTTTTTTTGGTCAAATTAGGGGGAGGGAGACCCGCTGATGGAGCTACGCGCCCTATTAGTTAGGTCACATATTAAATCAGTAAAGTGATAAATAGTCTCTAATTGTTAGCAAACATAGTCTTTAATTATTAAATCAAGAAAGTAATAAATAAAAAAATCACAGAATTTATTACAAAAAATTTATTATCCTTATTTATCACTTTTCTTATTTTGTAATTAAATAATGTTTATATATTTATGATTAAATACATCATCAATAAATAAGAATACTTATTCACCAATGAACAAACAAGTCTTATCCTATATATATATATATATATTAACATTGGTGAATTGACCTCTTTGTCTATATAAGAAAATGTTTCAAACTTTCTTTTAATATAAAATATAAAAAAAAATCATATTTTAAATGCTTTTATTTAACAGCTTTTATTTAATATTTTGTGTAAGCATGATCTTTTTTTAAAAAAAACAATTTGTTTTAAATTTCTAATTCATGTCATTGATTAAAAAACATGAAAGGAAAGAAGAGATGTGGGACCACTCAAAATGCCATGTCGCGAACCATCAAACAGTTTTATTGCACCAGCATTTGCCTACATGTAGTGCCAGATCAAGTCATATTTCCCCAGTTATATTAAATAAAATTTTTGTTAAAGTATTTAATATTAAAGATTAAAATAATTGAGGGATTGAAAAAGAAGGGTCGGGAATAAAGGCAAAAGAGGTGACGTAACGCATAGGAGATGGGTACAAATGACAGCTAAGCCGGCTCCACTATTTATTCCTTTTCTGAAGGCGGGAAGACTTTCGAAGGCCCGCGGAATCTTCTTTTTCCATCCTTCCAAATCTCACCGGCTGCCTCGTTCAAACAAGCCCGCTCTTGACCTGGATTTCCCGGTAAACGGTGAAGACGGAGGCTGACCTGGTACCTTTTACCCGGTAATCACGTGACTAACATCCCCACAAGTTCGTTTGTCGCGATACGAGCTTCGATAGTCTGCGGACGTGCCCATGTACATGTAGTGTATCCTCTCTTGATCAGCATTGGACGTGCTTGCAAGTTTGGAATGGGAGACGATTGACTTCAACGAGTGTCGTTCGATTGTCCTCAAATATCTGTACCAAGTCAACGAAGGAGTAGCAGCCTAAACATGAAAGGGACAAGTAAGCATTCGACTACAAATATTGAAAAACCAAGGACAAAAGACATGTGGCATGGTGGAGTTACATTGTGCACGAACTTAGATTTTTATTTAAATTTGAAAATGCAATTTGATATGGACTACTAGACTACTATGGGTGCATGTATTATACACCCGATTGCGTAACACGCCAATAATGAATGATTAAATGTGTTACAAGGCATTATTTTATTTTATTTTATTATTATATTTTTTTGTCATAGACTACTAATTGGGATTGTGACTTCTCAATAATGATTCATCTGCCCTCAAGGGCGCAACAGTAATGGTAAAGTGTTGGCCTGGTTAGGCACCCGCCTAGGTTCGAGTCTTACCTCTTCCTTTGCCTTCGACTCATTTGATATTGTGACTGTAGAGCCGTGCTATAATATCTCCAGTTTGGCACCTTTGGGGCGGGTCCGTAAGAGCCCTTTCTAGGGATGTTTTGGGTTATCAATAATAACAATAATAATAATAATAATAATGATTCAGTGTGAAGGAGTTAAGAAAACAGATGGACATCACTGTCAAGACTCTTCCACAGGTAGTAGTCCTAATGACTAGCACTCAAAATGATAGACTCTTTTTTAATCATTGGTGATAAAAATCAAAGTACGAAATAATTATTTATAAAAATTTTTTTCTTTCCCGGCCGATGTCACAGAGGCCACAAATTTAGAATCAGAAATGATCTTTTTATATAGAAAGATTAAGTTGTGTGTACATTTGATTCTCGTCAAATATGTAAGACGAATTCTTTCCAAATTGCGTGACGGTAAATATGAGTCAAAAAAAGTAATTAAAACAGTAAATATTATTAAGTAAATTTAAAATTTCATAAATTTTGACCAAATTTCATAAATTTTAAATACACTATATTTAATTAGAATTTAAAATTTGGTAAACACCAATTTCAATTTTCTTTTCCATTTCAATAACAAAAATTCGATTTAGAATTCAATTTGGTCAAAATTTGTTTGTTTTGACAATGGTGTAAGAGGTCAAGGAGCCCATATGTTCTGTTGTTGTACAATAATGGAGGACAGAGATCATATTGCAAATCTAAACCTTCACTGAATCACTACGAGTGCTGTTATATGACAAAGGATTAAAAATTCAGGGAGCATGTGGGTCCCATTTAGTGTGTCGTTGTCATGTGGAGCGCGCGCGCATGAATTAATGTTTAATTTTCAGACAGCTTGGAGGTAGATTTTGTTTACAAATCCAAATGATAATATCTTTCTTTTCTTTTATGTTCTTTGTTTGGTAGGAGGAAGAGGGAGCAGAAAAAAGATAGAAAGGAGTTAATAATTTCTCTTCTTCTGGTAGAGCGATGGAAATGATTGAAGAGAAAAGATAATGAATGAGCCGTTTTTGCTCATTTATAAAATTTTATCCCTTCATATTTGGAGGGAGGATGTGTTAAAAAACAAAAAGAAAAAGAATTAACGGACTTCTTTATTCAGTAGATATGATATAAAGAAATAAAGGAAAATATGACCATCCTATTTTCCTTGTCCGGTAGAGATGATATAAAAAAATAAAGAAAAATATGAACATTCTTCCTCCTTTGAAGAATAAAATGAAACAAGTGAACTATTATAAAAGTTTTAAATTAAATATTATCTTAAATAATATACTCTATAAATTACAGTATTATAAATACTATTGAATATAATCGTAAAAATAATTAAAAATTTTTATTTTCTTCTCTCTTAGTAACTAACATAGTGAAAAAGTTTTTAAATTATAAAACTTTCCTTATAATTAATTTTTTTTTTTTTTTAGTAATAAACAAAATAAGGTATTATTTCATTTAGTAATAAGTGATATTTATGTCATGTAAAATTTTATTAAATTTCAAGTTGAGCTTACCACCCGCTATATATTCAAAATTAAGATTTAAATTAAGTAATCAAAAAGTACTAAATGTGGTTTGGTTTCTGGAATCAGAAACCAAACCAAATCTAAAGTTTTTAAACATCCATGTCAAATAGGGGTGTAATTTGGGTGGGTTAACCTAGTCCAACCCGAATCTAACCCAATTTTTTTGAAATGTGGGCTTTTAAATTTACAAATCGGGCTCAATTCAGGTTGGGTCTGATCCACACCCAAATCAATAGTTGACCAACCCTAACTTTCTCTCTCCTCATCCTTCTTCTCTCTCTAGATCGCCTCTCGCTCTCATTCTTTTCCCTCTTTTCACACCATTCGGTACTAATCTCTGAGCTTCAATCTAACTCACTGTATGACTAATTTATATTTATTTTTCTAATTAACTTATTATTTTATTTTTGGTTCTCATATTTTGTTCCTCCTCTCTCTCTTCTTTTTCCAGATCTCCAATCCATCCGAGTTTTCAGATCACTTACCAACTTTTCTTTACACATAGGTGGTATGTTGTGGAAGCTGTCCTACATGAACTTATTGAGATCTGCTTGTTCTCTTTTTATGTATCCAAATGTGCATCTCAAAACTGCTGTTTTTTTTTTTTTCCCTCCTCTTAATCCAAATACGTGAACCTTTAGATTTGGTTTGGTTTCTGATTCTAACACATACATTACCTAATTTTTTAGAAAAAAAAAAAAAAAAACAGATATACATATATATATTCACAGTACATGAGCGAAAAAAAGCATTCAGATTAAGTTAGCAAATTTGGTTCTCACATGCACAATCAAAATTCATATATGTTGATGATGGATTTTGCGCAACTTGGATCTGATCTGACTTCCTGAATAAAGAGAAGAAAAAGTGATCCTACAAGCACCAGTGTGTTACCGGTGGAGTAGGTTCCGACGAACAAGTCAGTGTGAATGATAATTTCCCTAGAGAAATCGAGAAATTGAGTTAGGGTTTATACTTGATTTTATTGACATCTTTAGTCGGCTTGTTCCTTTAATAAGGAAAGTAGATTAAGACGAGTTTCACGTAACTCGTAATAAGGTAAGTAGATGAATACGAGCTTCACTCAGCTCACCCTTTAACAGGGGAAGTAGATTACTATGAGTTTCACCCAGCTTACCTTTTAACGAGGGAAGTAGATTACTATGAGTTTCACTCATCTCACCCTTTAACAAGGGAAGTAGATTAATACGAGCTTCACCCAGGTCACCCTTTAACAGGGGAAGTAGATTAATACGAGCTTCACCCAGGTCACCCTTTAACAGGGGAAGTAGATTACTTTGAGCTTCACTCAGCTCACCCTTTAACAAGGAAAGTAGTTAACCCCTCATCTTTTTACGAGGGAAGTAGATTATTATGAGCTTCACTCAGCTCACCCTTTAACAAGGGAAGTAGTTAACCCCTCATCTTTTTACGAGGGAAGTAGATTACTATGAGCTTCACTTATCTCACCCTTTAACAAGGGAAGTAGATTAATACGAGCTCCACCCAGGTCACCCTTTAACAGGGAAGTAGATTAATATGAGCTTCACTCAGCTCACCCTTTAACAAGGGAAGTAGTTAACCCCTCATCTTTTTACAGAGGGAAGAAGATGAAGCTGACCCTTCATTCTTTTAAGGGGGAAAGAGGTATGGTCTTGACATGGGAGTCATCTCCTCTGACGGTTGTCTCGGGATGTTGGCAAATCGTTGACACTTGTCGCACTTTTGAACGAAGTCAAGTGCATCTTTCTGCATGGTGGGCCAATAGTATCCTAGTCGGATGGCCTTGTTAGTAAGTGACCTACCCCCAGCATGGTTTCCACAAACTCCTAGGTGGATCTCCCTTAAAATGTAGTCAGCTTCCTCGCTAGAAACGCATCGTAAATACGGTATGGAGAAGCTTCTCTTGTTGAGCACCCCTTTGATAAGCGGATACCTAGCTGCCCGCATCTTGACCTTTCGAGCTTCTGCTCGGTCTGTTGGTAGCACCCCATCCTTGATATATCTGATGATAGGATCTGCCCATTCCACACTCAATATCGCTTGTTGCACTTCAATTTGTCTCTCCTGAGATATAGATGGTTCGTCCAAATATTCCAGTGGTATATTCTTATTGATCTCAGGTTCAATGTAGTAACTAGCCGGGCTAAAGCGTCTGCTTTCCCATTCTCTTCTTGTGGTATTTGATGAATTGAGAATCTTTGGAAGTGATTCTTTAATTCCTTCACCTTTTGTAGGTAACTCTTCATCTTCTCGTCTCGTGCCTCATATTCCGCTTGAACTTGTCCAGCGACCAGCTCGGAGTCGGTGTAATTGCTCAACCCTTAGGACATTTGCCACTTTTAATCCTGCTATCAAGGCTTCGTACTCTGCTTTGTTGTTGGTTGCGTTGAAACCAAACCGAAGTGCGTACTATATACTTTTTCCCTCTGGGGAGACAAGAACAAGCCCGGCTCCGCTAACCTGAACATTAGATGACCCATCCACAAACAAGTCCCAGACTACTTCTGGGCCCATCTGCTCACTTAAATCTGGTTCTGTCGAAAATTGGGGTTGTTTCTCCTCTTCTGGAGGGGTAAACTCGGCTAAGAAATCAGCCAACACCTGAGCCTTTACTGCTGTTCTTGGCTTATATTGAATGTCGAACTCTTCTAACTCTACTGACCACTTCATCAGTCGACCAGAGCTTTCTGGCTTGTGTAGGACCTGTCGAAGGGGTTGATCTGTTAGGACCACTATCGTATGCGCTTGAAAGTATGATCTCAGTTTCCTGGCGGACACAATTAAAGCAAAGACCAACTGTTCCATCCTTGGATATCTTTCCTCTGCACCCCTAAGTGTTTTGCTCACGAAGTATACTGGCCTTTGGTCCCCTTCTTCTTCTTGTATCAGAGCTGAACTGACAGCTGTCGTGGAGACTGCAAGGTATATGTATAGTTCCTCTCCCGGTATGGTTCGAGACAGTAGTGGGGGAGAACTAAGGTATTGTTTTAGTTCTTTGAACGCCTGCTCACACTCTGGGGTCCATTCAAACGCATTCCTTAGCACACGAAAGAAAGGTAGACACTTGTCAGTTGACCGAGAGATTAGCCTACTCAAGGCAGCAATCTTCCCTGTTAGTCATTGCAGATCCTTGGTTGATCTTGTCATCTCATGTCAATGACTGCTCGGATCTTCTCTGGATTGGCCTCAATTCCTCTTCTGCTTACCATATATCCCAAGAACTTTCCTGAGGAAACCCCAAAGGCACACTTGCTGGGGTTGAGTTTCATCTTATGCCTCCTAAGTACCTCGAAGGTCTCCTGCAGGTCAGTAAAATGGTCTTCAGCTTTTAAGCTTTTCACCAACATGTCATCAATATATACCTCCATGTTTCTACCAATTTGATGCTTAAACATTGCATTCACTAGCCTTTGGTATGTTGCACCAGCGTTCTTGAGCCCAAACGGCATTACTTTGTAACAGTACAAACCTCTATCAGTGATGAAGGCCATTTTTTCTCTATCTGAGGTGTACATAGATATCTGGTTATATCCAGAATATGCATTCATGAAACTTAATAGTTTGTGTCCAGCCGTTCCCTCAACGAGCATATCGATTCTTGGGAGAGGAAAGCTGTCATTCGGGCAAGCTTTGTTAAGGTCGGTGAAATCCACACATAGCCTCCACTTTCCATTTGCCTTCTTCACTAAGACCACATTTTCCAGCCAGTCGGGGTAGTACACCTCTTGAATAAAGTCGACTTTTAAGAGCTTTTCCACCTCTTCTGATATAGCCTGATTCCTTTCTGGAACGAAAGTCCTCCTCTTTTGTCTGACAGGTTTAAAGTCAGGATTTACATTTAAGCGGTACTCCATGATAGTGGGGTCTATACCCGGCATGTCTTCATGGACCCATGTAAATACGTCTCGATTCTTCCTGAGGAATTGAGTAAGTTTATCTTTGATACCTGGGGGGAGTAAAGACCCTATACTCACTTTTTTCTCGGGCTCACCATCACCAAGGATGACCTCTTCTAGCTCTTCTGTAGGTTCCGCTCTATGAAAGTCTGGTCTATCTTTCCCTTCCAGCCCTTCAATCGTAAATGCCTCTTGCGATTTTGTTTTCTGAGAGAGGCGACATAACATTCGCGAGCTATTGTTTGGTCCCCTTTTAGCTCTCCCATACCATATTTAGTTGGGAAACACATCAGGAGATGGTAAGTGGACGTGATTGCTTTCATGGCATTCAATGTTGTCCTCCCCGGGATAAAATTATACGATGATGGGCAGTCCACCACTACAAAGTCCACCATTACAGTGACCTGCTTTGGATTGGCTCCTGCAGTAACTGGAAGGGTAACTGCCCCCAGTGGATATACTTTGTCGCCTGAAAATCCCACCAGTGGTGACTTCATGGGTCGGAGCTTCTCTCGGCCAATTTTCAATTTCTCGTACGCCCTAACAAATAGTATGTCAGCCGAGCTACCATTGTCTATCAGTATTCGTCGAATAGTGAAATTAGCAACAACCATGGAAACTACCAGAGGGTTATCATGGGGCTGGTGAATTCCCTTGTCATCTTCTTCAGAAAAGGTTATGACCGGCTCCTCAACTCGAGGTAATTTTGTTGGAGGACTTGTCATTCCAACTTCATTCACCTCTGAAAAACTCCGAATACTCCTAGCATGAGCCCTCCAAGCCGAACTCGTCTCACCACCACCAGCGAAGCCACTCGATATAACTTTGATCTCACCCATTGGTTGGTGTTGAGGAGGGCGATCATCTCGGCCCTCCCGGGCTGGGTTGGAGCCTCCTTTTCCATTTTCAGTTGTGAATTTGCGTAAATGACCTTTACGAACAAGGTTCTCGATCTGGTTTTTAAGGTCGAAACAATCTTCTGTGTTATGTCCATGGTCCCGGTGAAACCTACAGTATTTACCTAGAGACCTCTTTGTTGGATCAGCTTTTAGCTTTGGTGGTCATTTCAATGATGCGTCATCTTGAATCTGCAGAAAGACTTGATCTACAGATGTATTTAGGGGGTATAGTTATTATACCTGCCTGGGCTCACTGGGCGGCAAGACGATCTGTCAGCCTAGTTGTTTGAGAATTTTTTGTACTTCGATTCATTTTCCTCCCTAGTGTTAGGTGCTGGCCTCTTCTTCTCCGACCTCTTATCTTCACCATCTTTGTTTTTTCGTGCATTCATAGCATCCTCAGCGTTCATGTGCTTCCATGCTCTAACCATCAACTCTGTCATGCTTGTAAGGGCTTCTTTTGATAAGGAAAATAGGAACTTAAAAGTCTGTAGTCCTCCCATAAAGGCTGTGAGGGCAACCTTGTCGTCCACCTCTTCTACCTGCAGCATATCAGCGTTAAAACGACTTATGTAACCACGGAGAGGTTTTCCCTTATGCTGTTTCACATTCAATAAGTGTGTTGCTGTCTCCTATGCCTCTGCCCAGCGATGAAGTGTCCAATGAATTATTTGCTCAACTCATTAAAGATTTCAATGGAGCTTGGCTTTAATTTATTGAACCAAGGACGAGCCCAACCCTTTAGTGTGGTAGGGAAAGCCCTGCACATAATCTCATCCGGTACGACTTGCAAATACAGAAGAGCTTCGTAGGTCTCTAAATGATCGAGAGGGTCCCGCGTCCCATCGAAGCTCTCAAGAGTTGGCTGTAGGTCTCCAAATGATCAAGAGGGTCCCGCGTCCCATCGAAGCTCTCAAGAGTTGGCATATTAAATTTGCTAGATAGAGGACAACTCATAACATAACAGCGAGGCTAAATGCTAGGTTGGTCTTCTGTACCAGATCGTTCATTGTGGCCTGGCCCTTCCCTTTCATTGCTTGCATGACGTCTTTGACCCTAGTTCTCAAATCTTGCATCTACAGATTGAAATAAGTGACGTCTTCAGTCTTGTCACCAACACAACCAGAGGTACCTGCACGGAGCCTGGTATTATTCCGTTCAAGAGACCGATGGTGATGGCTTCTCTGTTGACCCCCTATTTGACTAAGCTCAGCGTCGTTGTCAATCCTACGGGAGTTATTTTTGGGTAGTTCATTATTCTCCACCTCATTAAGGGCGGCTAAGCGTTGTAGAATCATTGAATTTTTCTGGACTAATTGGTTCATTCCCTTATTTAGGGTTTAAACCTGTTGTTCCAACGTTGTGACGCGTTCCTGATCGTTTGGGACGGCGGGGGGTTGCCACGTCGAGTCCCCTTGATCAGAAGTTTGCAACGCTTTGTATTCGTCAGCAACCAGACCAGATCGCAATCGAACCATACTTTATTTAGAGAACTAAAATCGTTCCCACAGACGGCGCCAACTGTTGATGATGGATTCTGCGCAACCTGGATCTGATCTGACTTCCTGAATAAAGAGAAGAAAAAGTGATCCTACAAGCACCGGTGTGTTACCGGTGGAGTAGGCTCCGACGAACAAGTCAGTGTGAATGATAATCTCCCTGGAGAAATCGAGAAATTGAGTTAGGGTTTATTGCGTACCTCCAAACGTTGATTACCCCGCCTTTTTTATAGGGCTTAGGTTAAGATGTCACGTAGAATTACCTTATTGTAATCTGTAGACTTAATCCTCATCGTAATCTTTAATCCTTATCACAATCTTTAATCTTTATCGTAATCTGTAAAGACTATCTCAATCTGTAATCCTTATCGTAATCTGCAGAGCCTATCTCAATAGTGCGTTAATTTAGCAATCTTCCCTTAATTATGGATATTTAAATTATACATCCATCAATATCAAAATTGAAAATTGATTAGTACTTGTTCAACATATATTTATTTATTTATTTATTGTTCTTTATGATTTTAAGTTGAAAAATAGAGAAGCACCATTAAAATTATTTAAATTTGCTTTTTGTGTCCCCTTATAAGATTTCTATTGTAATACACAAGAAATGATATGCTTGATTAAGTGATGCATAGTTCTTTTACCTTTGCCATGCTAAATAAATTCAACCCAGAAAAATGACAAATATTAGTGAATTGAAAAATCAAAATTTCAAATTTGATGTTTCCAAACATAGAAAAAGGAAAATGTGATTTGCATATGTGTAAAAAAAAAAAAAAAAAAAAAAAAAAAAAAATGTTGACCCGTTAAACCAGCCCAATCCGTCCAAATAATTGGGTTCGGATTATGGGAGTGCCCAGGTCTGGGTTGACTTCGAGCCGGCCGAACCCAACTCAATTTATAATTGAAGTTGGGTTGGGACTAAGTTAGATTGAGTCTGCCCAACTTATACACCTAATGTCTAAGCTCACATTTAGGAAAATATTATTTTGGACAATATGGCAATCTTCGGCTTTCCTCTAAATTATTCCATGGAGCCCGTTCTTTCAATTTCTATATGGTTCTCTCTCTTCAATCTTTCTCACGACTTGCCGTATTTAACTCCTAGGTCTCGTCTCAGCTCTATGCAAATCCCGCTTTATATAACATAATTCCGCACTTTTTATAGTGACCATTAGATTTAACATAACGAGAATATTGATCTCTTGCTCTCCATGGAGCAAAAAAATTCTTCCGCACTTTTTATAGTGTTCTAAACCCTAACTTTTCTTTTAATACAAAACCACTATCACTATTTCTAGTTTCCAAATTTTATATTTACCAATACAATTGATTATAACAATAAAAGGCAAATACTAAAAAATAAAAATAGAAATCTCTTCGGCTCTCGAAATGACTCTCACCATTAATTAGATTTTTTTTTATAAGTATTTGAAAATTGCATCCATGACTTGCTACTAAAGTTGACATTGTCTGTTTGAGTGTAAAAAAGAAATTAAAAATTACACTATTGACATACAAAACAATGAAACATCAACTTAATATAATATGTGATTTGCACTACACTTCACTCATAAAAAAAATTAATAGATTACAATTTAAATTATTGTATACCTCCCTAAATGGATGTTATTTAAAAATTAGAAATTCAATCTATTTTTTTCTAACTCATTGTTACAAATTATAACTAGCTGTAAATAGATCTCAATTACTTATCTGTTATAATAAATCACACAATATATTTTTCGAGTTAATAATAATAAAAATTTATTGATGTAATAAGGAGATTCACGACAAAACATGCTTTTATTCTATGAAATTTCAGTTTTTCTTAATGTTTTCTTTAATACTGCTATTATTATACTATCATTATTTTTATTTTTTTAGTACTTACCTTTTATTGTTATAATTAATTGTATTGACAAATATTAAATTTGGAAACTAGAAATCATAATAGTGGTTTTCTATTAAAAGGAAAACATATAGATGGGTAGGGATGGCAACGGGGTGGAGTTGGCTAAATTTTACTCCGCCCCATTAAAAAATTCGTCATACCAATTCCGGGACGAGTTTATAATTGGTATACCATCCTTGCCCCTACTGCGGTAGACAAAATATCGACTTCGCCCCGCATACTCCGTTTAATTGCGGTAAAGTTGAAACTGTTGAATTAATTCCTGGACTTGGAATAGAATACTAAGATCTTGAATCATTGATGATTGAATCACGTGTACAATTGTAAAATTTTAGTAAGCTGTGATTCGAACGAATAGTTATTCAAAATATATTAATGGACACTTAAATTAAATATATACGTTATATATATACACACACACACACACACACACACACACACAATCGGGGGCGGAGCGGGGTAGGGTGGGGGCATCACTAAATCCGCCCCTGCCCCAAACCCGCTTCGGGTTTTCAATTCTTTTGTTATATCCGTCCCAAACCCATTTATGGAGCTACCAAATCCGTCCCATTAGGAGCGGAGCGGGGCGGAAACTGTAACACCCCTAATTTTAAAAGGATAGTCTCAGTATTTATTTATTTGTTTTAATTGTATTTTTTTTAT